AGTGACATTTCCCTTTTCAGCAGATTTTTTGATAATTAATTAATGCCCTATGTTCATCCTTTTTAATTCCTCTTTTAATGTGAATAAGTTTATATTTGAATACTTAATTATAGAGATTATTTGAATATACGTATTAAAGCAATTTTTGAAAAAAATATTCCTGATTATCTTTCTTTGATTATATTATAGTTGACCCTCTCAAAACCAATTCTGTCAAAGCCGATAACCTTCCAAATCTAATAAAAAATTAATCTACCAAGCCTGTTCCCATTATATAAATATAATAGTTTACTATGTTCTCAAATCCGATAACCTCTTAGAACTGCATACAAAACCTGAGAGGGTCGACTATATATGATAATTTTATTTGAAACAATTGATAGTAACATATTTTGCCATTCTAATAGTTTTGCACACTGGATAATAAATATTGATGTTAACAAAAAAAGCTAATTACCTGAAAAATTGATTTATGAACAAAAATTACAGAGGAACAAATAAGTATTAAATAACAAAATTTAGAAAATATGTTCTAAAAATATAATATTAAAAATGATTATTTAATTAGACCAATAAAATTTGTGAATACTTAAAACCAAAAAAAGTATATTTTGCTTAGTTAATTGATATGCATTAAAGTAAAATAGATACGTATAAATAATAAAAAAAATATAAATTCTCCAAGATTAATCTTGCAAGACTGAGTCCAACATCAATAAATATTTTAAAGAAACTGGCTGGATTTTTCAATCAAGATCTGAACCAAAATGTATGCTTATCTTGAATTGTATAAGCTATTTTTCTAAGTTTATGTTATTTATAAGTTGAATATAGTATATTATCCAGCAAACTCATATAATCATGAAAAAATTTCTTCTTATTATTTTTTTCATGTATTATAATATAATTATGTTATTCCAATATTCAAAAAATAAAACTCAGCGAGCGACTTCCTACCAATCATGATTATAAATTGCAGGATAACACCAATATTGAGCAAATTGTCGAATACAGTAATTTGACTAATGATTGGCTACATGTGCCGAGCTACCCCAGTATTGCCACTAAGATTTTCACTCCCACGTGATCAGAAATCAATATCAAAATAAATTTTGTAGCAGTTTTATTAAAAACTAAGTTAAACTTGTTATTATAATTAATTTAATATCTAAAGCTAAGCATATATGCAAATATTTATTGTTTTAATATTTAAAACATTATTACTTTTTATCATTTATTTGAAAAACAATGTATTGTGTAAATGATCTTTAATTGTTCGAGGCATCGTTCTTCTTCACTTGTATAAGTTTATTTCACTCACTATCTTTTCTACTGTCCTAAAATTTTTTTTAACACTTTTTATCCATCAGAAATTTTTTTTATCTTGCTGATCTTTAAGAATTTCGATCAAATTTTCTAAGATACTTATAAGTTGAGTATATAACTCTTTATCAACCTGTGAATCTTCAATATCTTCTTCAGTGATATTAGAATTTATTACTATTTGATTAATAGATTGTTCAACAAAATTAACTGTTTGAGAGATATTAATAAATAGATATTGATAATTGTATTGAACTTGATCAAAGAATTGAGCATTTACTGATTTTTTTTTTTGTATAAGATGTTTGCAAATAAAGAAATGACTTATTAAAAAAGCTTGGCATCCACATATCCAATTTGAAATATCTGTATAATATATATTATGAAATTGTTTAATTTCCAAATTTTTCTATTCTTTTTTAAATATTTTACACCATTCTTCTTTTCTATTCCATTTAGAATTTGTAAAAACTTTTGTTCTTGATGTAGAATTACTTCAGTTATTAAAATAAAAATTACAAGATTCAAACATGGTTGAAAGAACTTACATAAGAAATCTCACTTTATTACTTTCCAATGTGCTTCCACAAACATATTGGTTTTAAAAGAGATTTTTTTTATCATTTCTGTACAAAACCATAGAATCCAACATTCAGAATTATACCATTTATTCCAAAGATAAGCCCAAAGGAATGATAAAGAATTTTTTTTACAAAATTCATAAACTTCTTGAATGGCTACAGTCCAAATTGTTTGTGCTATTAAAAAGTACCCATCATTTGTTGGTATTAATGGATGCAAATATAAATGGTGATATATTATTTCCCACACTAATCAATGAAATTGCTTAGGGCCAAAAGTATAATTTTCTATATTAAGCTAAGGATGAAATGCAGGACTTATAAAAGGAAATTGATGATATGCAGCTTCACTATTATAATTAATTTGCTTAGGTTTAGTATTATTTGCAAGTCAGTTTTTAATTGCTTTCTTAATATGCTAGAGACATAATTGTACTTTAATATCTTTCCAAATAAATCATGCTGCTAATATTTGTGCAAAGTTCTTATTTGTTAAAAAGACTTCTGGACTAAGACCACATAATTTTAATTTAAAAAAAAATCTATAATAGTGCCTGTACAAATTCTATTAATACAGTTCCCATTGTTTTCAAAAAACATATATGCTAAAGAATATCCACTTCTATTAATTTGTATATGAATAACATATAATTCATATTTTAAATTATTTGTATTATCTAAATAAATGATAAATCAACAAAATAATTTAAATATATAATCCAAACTTACACATTGCATCAATGCCAATTTCAATTATTTGAAAGTTAGAATTTCGTATAATATTCCACATATTTGTTAGAAATCCAATTGCTTTAGGTGTTTCTTTTTGAAATATAACTTGGTATGATTTTTCAATAAGCCATTTATGTGCAAAAAGAAATGAATCCTTATCACATTTATATCTACTTTTGCCAAGTTCTGTTCACCAATAGTGGATTTGCTTTTGGCATATGGGTTGAGTTAATAGAAATCAAGCAAATTTTTTTAATAAGTTTTTTAAAAACTTTAAACAAGAATAACTTAGCAAAAACTTAGTCAAATTTAATAAAATTTTTTTTAAATTAATTCTACAAGTTAGTAAAAATTATTTAAAAAAATTTTTATTAAATTTGGTCAAGGTTTCATTAAGTTATTCTTGTTTAAAGTTATAAAAAAAATTTATTATAAAAAATTTGCTTGATTTCTATTGACTCACCCCCATATATTAATATTTAGATTACATTCAACAAGCTGTTTATATATTTCATAAAGAAGTAAATTAATATTATCAAGTTTAAAACTTTTAATTTCTAATGATACAGTGTGATTTAGCTGAATTGGATGAATAAAATAATGTATTTCTATATTAGACAAGGTAAGATCTTGGGATATTACAATCTTGATACAACCCTTACAAGAAAACGTTTTATAGATTGTATATTACGATTCTTTTTAGCATTAGTACTTTTTTTTGATTTTTTGGCTAAACAATCTCTTTGAGAACAAAAAAAAGAATATGTAATTGATCTTGTCTTTTTGGCTTCATATTTCATATAATATTTTAAAATTATAAAATAATTATTGATAGTTTAATTTAATATAATAATTTTGTTAAAATTAATAAATACTTATATTCATCAGCATCAGATATTATTTTGATTATATAATTTGCTTTCTCTTTAGCTTCGCCTTTCAATGTAGATATATTTACAGTACAAGAAAATTTAAATTCAAAGGTATTAAAATTTTCTTGACTTTTAATAGTCTCAATACTTTCAACTGAATTAATAATTTTCATTATATAATTGTTAAAATCACATAAATCTATTAGAGGTTGATCATCAGCTTTGAATGATTTTTGTGAAACAGCTTTATAGCTTTAACAGCTTTGTTTTAAGTACGGCACAAGTAACAAGTATGAAAAGTTTGCTTATTATCGATGAAAGAACTAAAAGGAAGTCATTTTTCACACCTCTACAAGATTTTGGTCCATTATCATGATTATTTGTAAAAGGATCCAAGTTCATTTTGTTCTTATTTTTTGATGTATGTAAAATACTGATATTAATATTCGACATTACTAAAATGCACCATTGGTGTTCAACACCATAATGATCTTCACCAATCAAATTTTTTAAATGCAGTATAACATAAAGATCAGGTGTAATATAAATTTTTTGGTTTGATATTTTTTTAAAAAATACCTTTTAACTCAAAATTTTATTTATGAAACCATTTATTTTTTAAAAAATAAAAATTTCTTGTGAAATTTTAATATATACTATGTCTCACCCTAACCCTAACTATTAACTCTAACTTAATATTTAGTAAATTTAATTTAATTTTTTTTTTTTGTTAACGATATTCAATTTTGATAGTTTGTTTATTTTATGCAATGTAATCTTCATTACTATTTATGCTTATATAGTGTAATTTTTTTCTATTTATTGCATTTTGTGCTGCCTTTGTGCATAAGATCGGCATCTAAAATTTTCTATTAATCTATAAAATGAAATTCTTTCACCCACCATTTTTATATATATCTAATATGAATTGATATTGATATAATACTATAGATGCAAGAAAATTATTTTTTTTTAAAAAAAAAAAAAAAAAAAAAAAAAAGAATTTCAATTGGTTAAAACAACCTAATTTTATTAAAAAAACTTCCTTTTTGTGCTTGTATGTCTATTTTACTTTATGTTTGTATTACTACTTTTTGATAATTTTTTGGTTTTTTAGTTTTTTTTTCTTCTAATTTTTTGCCAGTATGATGAATTGATAATCAGTGATCGTCAAAGGAAATAATAAAAAATCGTAACAAAAGAATTCATTTATTTTTTTTATTGATTCGATCATATATAATGTAACATGTAGTTTTTTTTTTTTTTTTTGTGTTGTAGATTCTCTATCAGTGTTGTCTGAAACTATTGTTTTTGTTACTAAAAAAAATAAATAATAAATATTTCTAATTCTAAAAAAATATATATAAATGGTTGGTCCTATCGTATCTTATAGCTTATATATAGTATATGTACTAAGCCCTAACATGCGCCTATTTTAACCCTGCTAAGCACATTAAAGCCGCATGTCATTGTCCAATATAAGGCAATAAAAGGATAAGCTGAACTAATAACTAGTAAATAAACTTGATTACAATACAAGAAAGGGAAAAAAGAAGTCTGATTTTTATTATAAACTATGATAAATCTGCTGAAATAGAAAATGCTACTGTAATAAATGACCTTAGATATTGCAATCAACATGGAATAGGATTTGAAAAAGATCATTCATTAAGAGGAATTGAAAAGGATGAACATAGGGCATTCATTTATTATCAAAAATCTGCTAAAAAGAGAAATACCACTGCAATAAATGACCTTGGATATTGCTATCAACATGGAATAGGAGTTGAAAAAGATGAACAAAAGACATTCATTTATTATCAAAAAATCTGTTGAAATAGGAAATGCTGACGCAATAAATAATCTCAGATATTGTTATAAAAATAGAATAGGAATTGAAAATATGAACAAAAGGCATTCATTAATTATCAAAAATCTGCTGAAATGAGAAAATGCTAGCAGAATATATAAACTTGCATGCTGTTATTTTTATGAAAGAAGTGTTGAAAAAGATGAACAAAAGGCATTCATTAATTATCAAAAGTCTGCCAAAATGGGAAATGCTAGTGGAATATATGAGCTTGCATATTGTTATTTTATGAAAGAGGTGTTGAAAAAGATGAACATAAGGAATTCGTTAATTATCAAAAATTTGCTAAGATGGGAAATACTAATCAATAAATCAAGTTGAGCATTGCTATCGAGATGGAATTGGGATTAAAAAAATGAACAAAAGATATTTGTAAATTTTCAAAAATCTGCTAAGAAGGGAAATACTAACGCAATAAATAATCTTGTAGATTGTTATCGAATCGGAATAGGAGTTGAAAAAGATGAACAAAAAGCATTCATTAATTATCAAAAATCTGCCAAAATAGGAAATGCTAGCAGAATATATGAACTTGCATGCTGTTATTTTTATGGAAGAGGTGTTGAAAAAGATGAACAAAAGGCATTTGTTAATTATCAAAAATCTACCAAAATGGAAAATGCAAGTGGAATATATGAGCTTGCATGCTGTTATTTTTATGGAAAAGGTGTTGAAAAAGATGAACATAAGGCATTCGTTAATTATCAAAAATCCACTGAGATGGGAAATTCTAGTGCAATAAATCAAGTTGGGCATTGC